GGGGGGGGGGGCTCATCCTTCAGCTGGGGTGAAACGGATGAGCGCGCCCTTTTCGGCGCCCTTACGCCCTTAAACTGGACCCTTTCCCCCCTCCCCCATTCCTCTTCTGCCTTTTTTCTCTCTCTGGTAAACTTACCGTAAAGGTAAGGTAAGGTAAGGTAAATTTCTCCACACACACAAAGTGGTGGGGCAAGGGGGGGCGACCCTCGCATCTCCACACCCGGACACGGGCAGGAGCCCCACGGCATTCAAAGTGCAAGCACTGGCCCGGTGCACGTGGGTGAGCAGCCTGCCCCTCCCTCCCGACAAACCAACTCCCGCACACACACAATCGCACTCTGGCCATCGAATGACTCCGAATGACTCACTGTGTGTGCTAAGACAGAATCTCCGCAGACAGCCAAAACGGGCCGTGCCGCGTTTGTGGTGTCCTCTCAAGCACTAGCATCTGGGCGCCGCACTCGAGTGGGCGGGTCACATCTATGTGGGTGCTTACCGTAAAAACAGCAGTACTGGTAGTACGGCAAACGGAGACACCACACACAAGCCGGATTGAATCCTATGGACAGCCTATGGCTATGCTGTACTTGCAGGGAGCTATACTATGGCCCTGCTTGAGGTCACTGTGCGACCGTCTTCACCTACGCCGACTGCCTCCTCTCCTCCCCTTGGCCTTACCAGCGCGGCTCGTCACAGCAGCAGAACCGCCAAACCCGGTGCCTGTGGAGGCTGAAGCTTCGACTTTCTGCGCTTCACCCTCGCCGCCGCCGCCCTCGCCGCCGCCCTCTCCCCCGCGCGCCTCGACCAGCACGATGTGCGTCCCCCACTGGCTCGCCACGGTGCAGAGCCGCCCCACCTCGGCGGTCTGGACGAGCCTGTCAAAGGCGGCCGTGTCCTTGCCGTCGTACGGCATGGAGTCGCCGCTCAGAGTGCCTTCGCGCAGCCGGCTCAGTGACGCAAAGGTCCCGAGCGCCCCGTGCAGGTCGCGCGTCGGGCACGCAGAGAAGCGCAGCGCCGCATCGTCGAAGTCGATCTCGCCGCGCTCGATACGAGCGGTGAGCGCCGCCGCCTTTGCCTCGCAGTCGCCTTCGCTCGCGAGGAAGAGGATGTGACGCGCGCGCACGAAGCCTTCCGGGACAAACGAATCGTCCTCGTACGCCGCCTTGACGCCGTCCGCAATCGACTTGGCACCGTCCGCGACCGACCTGGCGCCGTCCAGCAGGCCCATCAGCGGTGCCGCAGCCGCACGTGCCGCAGCCGCGCTACGCAGCACGTGAGAGGGCGGGCCTTGCGCGATGCAGACATGAACGGATGGCCCGTGCGCCGCGGTGCCGATTACCAGGGCCGCGAGCGTCGGTGACATCGCTGAATGTGGCGGCCCACGCGATTTCTTTTTGGAAGCGAGGGGGCGAAGGAGCGTTTTTTCGCGACGCGCTCGTGTGCAGCACCAGCCGTCACGGCTTCCTGCGCGGCGTCGAGGCTCGCCGAGCGGGCACGGTAGCGGGTAGGTCGACTCCGACACGACACGGCCCCAAACAGCCCACGTGGGAGAAGTTTTTTCGCGCCGTTTTTCTTCTTGCTCTCCAAACATATGTGCCACAGCCAAAGTTTCGGAAAGAAAGAGAATTAAAAATTCAACGAACACAAGACCCGGTATCCACAATTCTATACTGATGCTACTAGTACACACGTCAATCCTGCCGACCTCATGCGGACTCGACTGCTGCTGGCACAGCCTCACCTCCCACGCCACCAGAGCATGCCCCTGGGCGCATCCGCCAAAGGAGACGGTTGCCTGCTAGGCGAGCCTTCCCGGGTGTGGGTACCTCCAGTAACCGCCCGATACGGCGGCGACAGAGATGGAGGCACCGCGTCAGCGCCCGCGCGTCGCAAGGCACCGCACCCATGCTGCGCAGGATATGGCGTAGGCTCACCCTGCGGTGCTCCACCGACGGGAAGAGG